AGCAATATTGAGCAAAGAAACTGAGACAAAAAAATCTTAAAATTTGTCATAAATGGTCTACTTTTAGGGGGTAAAACACACTGGGAAAATAGAACAGCACATGAAAAGTTTTAGGTGAAATTTCTAAAAACAGAAACATCAATATACCTGAACACAGGAAGGTCTTCATAGGATGGCTCTTTCTCTCTATATAACAAAAGGTGGAAGAATAGGGAGAGATGCAAAGCATGGGGGTAGGGCTGTGTGGACTGGGTGCTAGGATGGAGACTTCAAGGCCTTGAAGAGATGTGACAGAGCTTGCATCCATGGGAGGGAGTAACATCGCCCCAGGGGCTTCCCTGAGCCCCTCTCCACCTTTCAGTCTGAAGAGGGAACATTTGATGTTCTACTTGAATAGTGTAGCTGCTGTAAGCTGTTGTCCAAGTTGTTTTGTTCAGATTCAAAACTGCAATTGTATTAATAGTGGCAAGATTGTTGTGCAAGTCTCTGACACAGTTATAGGAAAAGAAGAGCCCAAACTCCTACTGAATTGATGCAGTGTACTCCTTCATAAGAAGAATAACCCATATTCAAGAGACAAGCTCGCAAAAAGAAAAAATAGAGCTACAAAGTAAGCATAGGCCCCCATCCCTAACCCAGGGCACCCAGTAAAGGCATAAGTCATGTATTTATAAATTCAGGGACACCGTTCATGAATGTTTTAGAAATAATTCATGTGGATCCTTAAATATCTTGTTTTCTATTTTCTTAGTGAACAACTTGTATCATAAGGGTTATCCTTCCATTTTGAATTATAATGGAACATTGTTAGCATAAGATATGATTTTATAAATGGCCATCAAGGGACTGGATAGTGGCATGGGAAATATCCATTAATTACAGCTTGTATTGTTTGGCTTCTATGTGATTACAATATGCAAACTTGAAAAGAGTTTATAACTGTTAGGAGGAAAAAAATGTACAGAAGTAACAACTGAGAAAAGATGCTGGTAGGCCTTTAACATAGCTCAGTGGAAGAATACTTGTCAGTCATGTATGAGACCCTGGGTTTAATCCAACAGCCATAACAATAATGAAAGGAACCTTCATACTAACTAAGTTTTATAATATTAAATTGCATTTTGCTTATAAAATAATAAGAAAATGGAATGAAAGTAACATAATCCACAGTCAAAAAAATATGAGATTTTGTTAAAATATTTTTCATGGTTTTCAAAAACTACTATATTTCCACAAATGTCATCTACTTTGGTGTTCTGACATGCTGCAGTTCATACTTCTGGCATTTTAACAGTCTACTAACATTTTACTCAAAATTGTACAATTTCCAGTCTTTTGCTCAGAGAAATGCTTGAATTTTGCAACCTAAAAATAAACCAATCAGAAACAAACAAAAAAATCATACTACATGCAGATTTTATAATGTGATTTATTGTCATCTTGCCAACCTTCACATAACTCACTGATTTATTCATCCATTTGTTGATTCTGTAAAATATTTTGACAACTGTTTTGTTTTCATTTGTAGGTACTAAGAATACATAACATACGTAGGTGTCTTGGGAGGGGAAATGTCAGTTCTGTATACTGATAAGTGCTAAGAATAATCATTATACAGAACTGATATCATTCCCCCTCCCAAGACACTTTTTATGTATTTGGGATGAATGATGAACGTGAATAATTCTATTATTGAAATTATCTGCTTTTATTTTTACATAACAATGATTTCACAGCACTCCGATTTAAAGCAAGAGGAGCTCGGTTTGCAGGCCCTTCGTGTGGACTACACACTTGGTCCACGTCATCCTTTCTGAGGAACCATATCTTACTGGGCTTCTTGCACAGGGAGTGGATCAGCCTCAGAGCACAGAGTGGTGATGTTGTGCAGAGTGTGAAGTGTCTACAGTGAGGATAGTCACATGTGAAAAGCTGTCATGGCCTTCATTTTGGCCTTCCCAGTTATATTGCTTTCATACTCACTCGCCTGAGCAGTCTTTTCTGTGTTTACAACCATAAAAATAAAAATCAAAGCTAGCAGCACTTGTGTGAGTATGTATGTGTGTGGTATATGCGGTATTATGCATGCCTCACAAAGCAAAGACCAGAGGAGGGTGTCAGGTGTCTATCTGTCCCATTTCATTGACCTAGGATTGCTCACTGATCCTGGAGTAAAACCGGTGGCCAACAAGCCTCAGTGACCCTCCTTTCTCTACTTCCCATCCCCCACAACACTGCTGTTACAGACACACATGTTCATGCCACGTTTTTTATGAGTTCTGTGGATTTGGACTTAGATCTCTGTGGTTGTGCAGGTGCTCTTACTGGCTAAGTCATCTTCCCTGCCTTCTGCTTTAGTATATCTACATTGTGTGTGCCTTTGAACTGTGGATGCTTAGCAAAGTTATTCTTCACAATTCCATGACCAATGTCAAGCAAACATCATCATAGCGTGTTAGTAGGTGAACTCAGTCCTATCTCTCTACAAACAGTACATTCCTGTAACTGCTCAAATTAACCCTTGTTCATATACTCTATGTCCCTCCTATAGACCAATGGACTTAAACAGTTGACTTTTTATTGAAGCTGAATTCTTGTTTGCTAGCATGTTTCAACATTTGTAATCACTTTTGTTCTTCTCCATTATTAGTGTTAAATGACTTTAGTTTTCTGTTAAGAAGATGTTGAATTCAATACCTACAGTATTCAGAGTTTTCTTGGGAAGCCAGGAAAACTAATACTCCTCCCATCAACAGCTAGCAACTATGTGTAACTTTGTTGAAAACTGTATACTTTGTACTTATACACAGGAACCAGAATCACTGCCCTATCATCTCAGATGTGTGTCTTTCATAGATAATCAATATTTAAAGTGCCTTTCTTGCCCTTCAGGTTTTTCAACCTTTTATCAATGTTTGTCAAAAATATCCCTCATGTTTAGAGCATTTGTAAAGTATGCTGGCTTGGGTACATTCGGTTTTAAAATAATTTTTAAAATAATATGCAGTTCACAGCATCAAGATTTAAACTTTTCCTGTGATTTCAACACTGTAGAAACACAGTAGTTAAACTTGCTTAAATACATGAATCAAAAAGTAGAATAAAGTATCTAGTGGCAGATTCATTTAATGCAGCCCACACACTTTCAAGGAAAACACCAAACATTAAGTTGTAACAAAATTTTCTTCAATAAATGACACTGAAAAACTTAATTACAATATGGAAAAATGAACTTCAATTCAAATCCCACACCAAACAAAATGTTGAATTTCTTATAAGCTTAAATACAAAAGAGTAATAATTAATATAATGCTAGATAAGTGACTAAACTTTACAAACTTCTAATAGGCAAAGACTTCTAACCCAAATTTAAAGCAATCCTCCTGCCTCAGCCTCCAAAGTGCTGTGGTTACAGGTGTGTACTTCTAATGCTTAGCCTCTGTATTTATGTTCTCGCTTTAGCATCTCCATCAGCATTATGTTAATGGAGTTTATCCACATTGTTACATACACAGGTGCTTCCTTCACATTCCTTTCCAGGTCTGTTCTCTCCTTTCCTACATCTATTGGGAGGATTTTATCATTGTCTTTATACATTGATATGATCTATTATACAACTGACTTATCTATACTGAATTGTTCCTACATCTACAGGATAAACCCAACTTGGTTGTGGTAGATGATTTTTTGCTGTATTATAGCATTTATGTTCATCATGGATACTGACCTGCAACTTTTTTATTAGACATATCTTTACCTGGGTTTTGTATTAGAGTAACTATGGCTTTGTCAAAAAAAGTTTAGAAATGTTACTGTGTTTCCTTTTTCTTCCTTTTTTCTTCTTAACAGTTTAAGAAGTATTGGTGGTAAGGTTGTAAGGTTTTAAAATGGTAACAAAAGGAGTGAGTAGCTGGAGTGAAAAATGGCTAGAAGATGGGCATGTGGGCTTTGAATTGGATAGTTAGTACTAAGAATCGGGCCTACAAGTATGTGTTAACAAGAAAGCCACGTGTCGTCTTGGTGAGAGGTAAGGGAACTGGCCCCTTTTGGCAGGCAGGAACCCACTTCACAAGTTCCTGGAGAAATGCTGGCTTTCATGTAACCACCAGAAATCTTCCTACAGTCCAGGTTAAGTTCAGTTTTGGATATTTGAACTTCTAAAGTTCAAGGAATTGGAGTGTCCTTTCAAACTGACACTCTTATAGCACAGGCAGGCTTTGAATATGTAACACATACATACAACATACAATTCAGGGTTAGATTTTAACAGTGTTTTGTAAAACTATACTGTATTCTGAAAGTCATGATCAGCAACTAACATCCATGCAGTATACATACATATAGCTAAACATATAGCTAAATAGTGGGATTACTGGGGGAAATATGAAAGTACATCACATAAATACCAAAAAAAAAGCATTATGATTAATGGTGGCTCATTTCTATATGGATACCAAGGACATGAAAATAGATAATAGTAGTGGTCTCATTTTTAGAACCTTACGGGTTTTTCACTAGTGCATTTCCATGCAAAAAGCTGCATTCTGTACCTAATCTGACTTTTTATGGGTTTAAATTAAGTGGAGACACACATACATACATACATACACACACACACACACACACACACACACACACACACACACCGCACCACTCACAGATACCCTGAAAAAAAAAGATGTATGTATTTTTGCTTGTCATTTGCAATCTAAATAGTCCTATACGCAGGTAAATCCATAATTTAATACGATGACTTTTCACAGTTACTGTGTTACAAACGCAGACTCTCTGCCTGCCTGGACCAGCTTTTGTAAGGTGACCTTAGTATCGGAGCGAGCACTGCAGGGTCACAAAGCGGACAGATTCGTTTTAATCCACCTTTGATCCTTGCAAAATGGGTGCTGTCTGTGGGCTGAATTGCGTCAGCTCACTGAGCTCGTGCCTCTAAAGTGACAGCGATGTCTGCGCAGCTGTCCTTGCAGTTACATAAGCGCCTGCAGCGGACCTTCCCGGGGATGCTGACAGGAAGGGGCGGAGCCCACGCAGCCCCGCGCCAGACGGGAGGGAGCGGCCGGCCGGAGGGCGCTGAGGCCGCTGCCCGTGCAGGAGGCGGCGGGTGGCCACCGCCCGACCTTGCTGGGCAGCGCGCGGGGCAGCGGAGACCCTCGGCCGGCTGGGACACCGCCATGGCCCCCGCCGACGTCCCGTCCGCCCTGGCGCTCAGGGCCGTGGGCCCCGCGGCCGCCACCCCGTACGGTGTCTTCTGCAAGGGGCTCTCCCGCACCCTGCTCGCCTTCTTCGAGCTGGCCTGGCAGCTGCGCATGAACTTCCCGTACTTCTACATCGCGGGCTCCGTGATCCTCAACATCCGCCTGCAGGTACACATTTAGAGCCGCGCCTGCGTGCCCGGCCTCCGGGCAGCCGCAAAGATGGCCGCCTCCCGGGCCGCCCCGCGCGCGGCCCCGCCGAGACGCGCGTGCGGAACGTGCCCACCCGCGAGAGCGCGCGCGCGCGCGGCCGCCTCCCAGCGGCCCCTCTCCCGGATTCCGAGGTGGGAAGGCTCGCGCCCAGGCCGTTAAGAGCACGGGTGTGGATGTTCCAGAAGCGGAGGGACTGAGGCCCGTGGACGCACCCAGGGAATGCACATCAGGAGACCCCCGCACAGTCTTAGGGTGTGGCAGAGGGCACAGGCTGCGTTGTGAGAGAGGAAAACCTTTACGTTTTTCAAGAACACGGATTTCCATCCAGCTTGCGTTCCGAATTAATCTTTGAGGATATTGGACTGTGAGCTAGTCACTGAATCAGAGGCCTCTTATGTCATGAATGGGATCTGAAAAGCAGGTATCTTCCACCAGAGGAGACATTGAAACTGTGGGTCAAAGCCAGACTACAGGAAAGCTTGTCCCCAGTGCCAAATATGACAGCACGGTTTTGAACGGATGGTGAGAGTGTGTGACGATGTCTCTGTCAAGACACATTGGAGCCAAAGGAAAGAAAGTCCAATCGTGGGCAGAAGAATTGGCTGCCCTCTGATAGGAATGCAAATGAACCAAATATGCCGTTCTTCTTTAAAGGGAATACTTAATTTTGGTTACAGAGTAAAATGCAGATTGTTACAAACCTTCTGAAAATACAGTTGACAAGTGGAAGGACGAGAAAGTAAATGGATTGGTGGTGCCCTTGTGGGGTGGGAGGGATATAGATATATATTGAATGATGAGGGCATTTTGTGGATTGTGGACAGCCTAAAGTTTCTAACTGCTAAATGGAAGGGTAACCACGTGAAGTAAACAGGAAATGCCCAAAAGTGGAGTGGTTTGAATGTCCAAAAAAAAAAAGAGCAAATACCTGGTATATGTGAATGTATGCTAGAGACTTTTCCAAATGTGGGATTAGTACTTATATTTTATTTTGAAATAAAACTGAAGTCATTATAAACCCCATCAGAAATATTAAAAAAAAATATTGCCTCATGGTAATGGTACCTGCTGTACCTCATGTGACTAATACTGTACCTGTAATGTAAGTACTTGCTTAACAAGAAATAATTGTGTAATATTGGGGGGCTTGAAGAGGAAGAGATGAATGGATATATATAGAAAGTACATCAAGACCTATTACAGAGGATTAGAGGTTTGGTTCAGTTGTAGAGTGTTGCCTAGCATGTATGAGGCTCTGAGTTTGATCCCCAACACTACAAAAGATATAATATATAAAAAGCAGCATAAACTGATGAGGAAAATCAATGCAGACACATCTAAGAGTTAAAATAGTTATTTCTGGAAAAAAAGAAAAGAAATGGGAATAGGAAGAGGAACTATGTGATTCATTTTTCATGTATATGATTTTCAATTAAAATATAATTTAAAATATTTCATTTCTAAAAGCTCCCTAGGTAATTATGTCTACCACAGGTTAAATGACATGGAAATCTCATGGGACTGAAATTGTAAATCATACAGAACATGGTTAGTGCTTGATAATACATATCAATATAGAAGTATTCTACCGACTTTAGCTTTGGAAATAATTTTCATTTTACTTGTGATTTTCCTTACATATAAATGTGATTGTATTCTTTCTAAACTCATCATGTGAGATGAATATATACTGTTACAGGCATGACGTGAAAATGGAACTGTCTCCGTTATTTCCTCGCTGTGAGCACATGTGAAGATAGAGCATGCTATTTTAAAACCCTTCCACTGGCTTTGTGAGCAAATTGCCATCTTCCAGGCTCTTCTGGGAAATTCTCATGATGTTCAGAGATAACTGAAAGGATCCAGTGAGGCCCAGACATAGTGGTGGTGCACAGCTGTTACCCCAGTACTCAGGAGTTTGATTTGGGACATTGTGTGTTCAAAAGCAGCCTGGGCCACATGATGAAAAATCTGTCCCAAAGACACAAAAGCAAGAGTCCAGTGATTAAAAAACAAGTATTAGAAGGAAATTGGGTGTTTCCTCATTAGTTTAATTCTAGAAAAGCCTATGAACCGAAGGCTTCCACTTTTGTTCATGTTGTATTTTGTGCTTTTACCCCCTTTACTTTTTCTTTGGTTTTGTTTTGTTTTGTTTTTAACGGGGTTGCAGAGGAATTTGCTGTGTAGCCCAGGCTAGCTGAGAACTCATGATCTCCCTGACATCTGCCAGCAGGCCTGCTCTTGCCAGGTGACATTTTAAATGTCACAGGAGTCCAAGACTGTTTGCGTAAGCTTCTTGCCAAAAGTTTAGTCAAAATGAGTGTATTGAAGGGAAAAAATCATCAGTGTTTAATTGATAAAGAAATGTACCTGATGTTTCAAAGTATCAGAAAAATCCAACTGTAATAGGACAGAAAAGAGTAACCACAGAGAAAAAAGAGATGGAAACGTTATTCAGCCAGTAAAGTGCATTCTGTAAAAGCTTGGCGGCCTAAGTTTGATCCCCCAGAGCTTTCATAAGTGAGCCAGGCTTGGTAGTATGCCTGTAGCCACAGTGCTAAGGAGAGGCAAAAAAGAGACCCCTGGGACTCTCCGGCCAGCCACCCTAGCCTACTTGGCAAGTCCCAGAATATCGAAAGCCGCTGTTTTTAACAATAAGGTGGACATTGCCTGAAGAATCATACTTGGTGTTGAACCTCTAGCTTCCTCCTATACATCTCCCTACTTGATATCCTCCTTTTACTTATTTTTTTTATACTCAATTGAGTCCAGTTCATGTTATCCATATATGCATGAGTATTGGGTCATCCACATTCCTAAAGAAAACTGATAGTAACTATCCCCTGTGGCTCCTCAGCTGGGGGTTTAGCCTCAGGATCCCCTCCTTGATAGAATCTTTGAACTGGCTTGATCTTGTGCTGGTCTAATGTCACAGCCAAAAGTTTGTAATTCATAGCCCTCTTCCTCATCCTACCTTTTACATTCTTTCTCTCCCATGATGATTTTTTTAAACCTATCTGTCAAGATGAGGTGGAGAATAACCGTGATATTATTTTCATTAATTTCTACCTTGTATCATAAATGTTAGCTCACTGTAAAATGCAGTATTATTTTATGATTCTATTACAATCAGCATCTATCTTGACTGAGTGCTATAATTAATCTGAGAGCTTTAGAAAAATACTAGGCATGTCATTACATACCTGTAATTCTAATATTCTAAAGGCTGAGTCAGGAGGATTTTGATTTTGAGTCCAGCTGAAGTTATGTAGTGAATATTGGACTATGCTGAGCCATGTCACAAGATCCCGGCTCATTGTGCATGTCCTGTGAGCTTCTCCAGAGAATGTTTATTTCATTAGTGTGGAGCATACTCTCAGTATTCTGAAAGTTTATTGGTGCGTGCATTACAGCACCTGTCAGGCCCACATACAAAAAATTATTTTTAGTCCCAGGATTTGGAAAGAGCTAGATAATTCTAGATTTCATGGTATGGAAGTCAAGAGACCTAGAAGTTACTGATGCTTGAGAAATACTCCAAAGGCCACTAGAAAAAAAACAAAAAGTTATTGGTAGGCATGGTTTAAAAGTGACAAAAACATGAAAGTTAATAAAATAAAGCAAGTCCAGTGATACTCACTGAAGAACATTTATGTTCATAAGTACACTAAAGAGGAAACTAAGAAAAACATTGAAAACAATAAAATCATGTCTATCATATACTATGAGTAAATAAAAATGCAAGTGGATATTTGCATTTTAAAAAGTCTATATGACTACAGATATTCACAATCATATGTTGAATTACTTTTTATATTTTCTTTAAAATATCAAATGGTTGAGTTATATATGCTGGAGAAATATGTCACTATATTATTATAAAATGTTTCTACGGATAACTTGATTAAATTAATCCATGGTATAGTTGCAATCCAAAGTAATTAGTCTAAGCATCTGTTGATAGCTATAGTTAAAAACAGAAAAGTTGGCTAGAGAGATGGCTCAGCTGTTAAGAGCACTTGTTACTTCTACAGAGGACCCAGGTTCTGGTCTCAATATCACATAATGGTTCACAACTATCTCTTAGGCCAGTTCCAGAGGAGCTGATCCCTCTTCTAGCCTCCTCAGGCACCAGAAATATACATGTTGCACATACACACATGCAGGCAAATACACACATAAAAATAAAATTTAAAAATCAGAAAATCATTGATTTCTTGATGTACTGGGCTAAAAAATAAATAGCATTTCTCACTAAGGAACAGTGAAAAAGTACTTATGGAAATGTACTCTGACCTAATTAATACAAAACATAATCCGAAGCTTTAAAAAATTGTAGCAAAGAACTACTGCATCTGTAAATGATCGTATCACCTCTTCTCACCAACACATCTCATTATTCCATTTGAATCGCATAGCCTTTTAAACAACTCCTGTATGTGAGACAGACAGAGACAGACGGATTCCAGTGAAATGAGTGGATGAACTTCATGGTTGCCCTTTTCTGTCTCCCCCTCCACCTCAGCACACATCTTTAAGACTCCCAGTGGCCAACAGTGCCCAGTGGCAAGTGTTCCCAACCCCTACCATTCTCCTGTTCTGTCAATAGCAAGATGTTCACAAGTAATAAATACGCCCAATTCTTGTTACTGCTCTAAGACACTGACCTCAGCAACTTTTCCTTTGATAGACACTAAATTAAAGCCTTCTGGAGCTTTTTAGTTGTAAGGATCTTAATGTTTAAGGGCAAATAGTAATCCAAAGAGCAATGCCAGGGACCAGGACTAAAAGGTAAAGTGTCACATTCATCTCCCACATGTGAAGGATACTGACCTAGCTTAATCACTGTGATCTATAGATACTCTGTTTCACTGTGGGTTTTTGTTTCACTTGGAATAGAATGCACCTTTCATTTTCAAAACCAAGGGCTCCAGTTGTTTCCCACATTTCTCAGAGGATGTGGATGGTTGGTATTAATTGTCCTTTTGACATTTCTAGTGTCACTTAGGAGATGGGCCTCTGGGTATGGCTGTGGGGTTTATCTTGATGATATTAATTGACGTGGGAATAACTATCTTAGTTGTGGGTGAGATCATTCCCTAGACAGGGTATCCTGTACTGTGCATGGAAAAAGGGAGCTAAACAACAACTTAATTATGATGTAACTGCCTACTTCAAACCCTGCTACTTATTTTTCCTGCCATGATGAACTGTGCCTTGAACTGTGATATAAATAAGATACTTTAATTCTTCCATCAGAGTATTTTATTGCAGAAAAGGAGAAACAAAATTAAGATAGAGGAAAATACCCTTCCCTGGGTCTTCCTCACAAACTTAAGCCAGAGCTAGCCTTGATTAGAAGGACAGGATCCACAGTGGCAGAGAGTGGAGTTCGGGGTTAGAATGACAGTGACTAAACATCTTCTTTGTCTCAGAGAGTATATTAGTTTTGTTATAACATAAACATACATACGTACACACATACTACAACAACTAGCAAAGCTAAAATGAGATTTGGTGTACCAGGAGTCAAAAAGGATTACCTATTTGTTTCTCAAATGCATTTAACAAAATTCATGAAATGTTTCTTGGGAATATCATTCTAAAACATAGATGGGCAGCATATTACCTGTTGTCTAAGGTGGGAGAATTTGGAAGGACTTTGTCATAATGTGAACAACCATTAAAAGGGACTACTGAGATTTTGGTAGGAGAAGTTACCTAAAAAGTAGCATGTGACCTGCTTGAGACTAATCTGTAAACCATTATTAGCAGTTAGTACAGACACAGGTTTTTTGTTTTTTTCTTTTTTTCTTATTTTACATATCGATCCCAGTTCCCTCTTCCTCCCTCCCTTCCTCTCTCCCACCCTCCTATGCCCCCGACCACCCTCCCATCCCATCCCACCCCCCCATCCACATGTAGAGTGATGCTTTCCAGGAGGGGTCAGACCAGGCTACAGAAACCCACAAAGACAGCTAACTTGAACAAGGAGGAGCTAATGGGCCCTCAGACTGATAGCTGGGAATCCAGCATTGGACTGACTCAGACCCCCTGAACATGGGTCTCAGTTAGAAGGCCTGGGCAGTCTAAGGAACCTCTGATAGTGGAACCAGGATGTATCCCTGGTGCACAAAAGGACTTTGGGAGCACATTCCCTATGGAGGGATACTCCCTTAACCTAGAGGCAGGAGGGAGGACCTGGTCCCTACTGCAAATAACCAGACACAGGTTTTTAACTGGTGTATGTTTCCAGAAATACTCAAGAAAGCATGCCTTAATGTACCCGATACCTTTTGAACCTGGCATCAGAGTTTAGCCAATTTCATCAACAGACTTGGGGTATTCCTTTCCTGTCAACAGCCTACCTCTGTTGATGGAAAAGAAGAAATAATTGCAAACAAATTCTCAAAATGAACATTTATTTGTCAGGTAAGAGCTTAGTAGTGAAAAAAGAAGTAATGATTTCTCTGTTTCCCCAACATTTTGGTCAATCATTCCAGGTTGCGTGCATTGGCCTGGGGTTGCATGTGTTGGCAGAGGGTCTCATGCTGAGACCGACAGGAAGATGGCAGATGGAGATAGTAGTGGTACAAGGCTTGAGTTCAACTAACATTCAAACGTGTGGATTACAAACCATTCATTGCAATAACTTGGCCTGTAACCTGGAATTCATTTACTGATACTTTGCCACTCTTCTACTGTCAAGAATAAGATCCTGTTCTTTATATTTCTCTCCCCTAAAGTTTGCTTAAGTGTAGGTTACTTCTAGATATACATTAGCTCATTTATCCCCAAAACCATTTTCTTCTAATCAAAAGTTGTTCACAAGTTTACTTAGCTTCTCTTAGTTACCAAATTACAGTAACACTAAAAACTAAATAAAATAAATTCTGCAAAATAAAAACAAGACCAACATCTAAGGCTGAATTTACACATTATATTTTCCAAGACAAGATATTTAAAATATAATTACTGAAAAATGTTTTGTTTTGTAAAATACAGATTATTAATAAATGTGTGCTATATTATCATTGAAGTCATCATCAACATCATTCTTATCATCTATAAGTAGAAGAACCAAACAGCTCAGATGTAGTTGGGTGGAAAATATGAATTGTTCTACCATTACCGTACTTACAATTCCACCAAGCCAAACCAGCAAGTGTGTATCATGATTTCATTGCAGATTCTTTTACCTAATGACTACATAAACAAATATAATGCCTAGCATACTGTGTGTAATGTCCAGTATCTGTATAATGTTATAATTCCTACTATCACAGTGAAAATGTTATAGTAAACATCCCCCATTGCCTCATTTGGAATTTATAGCTATTGTATCTACACCTAAATTGTAGCATTATAAATACATCCACACATCCACAATCCCCATTGAACTTGCCATTTATTATAAAAATTGCCCTCTTCATCTTCTTTCTTCATCTATTATCTGTGTCTTGTACTAAGAACTCCGACGATCAGATTGCAATGAAATGTGTGCACAAATACACTTTCATTCTCAGGACATGTTATCTTATAGTAGCAACATAAGTGTGATTCTGAAGTAAAGGTTAATTTTATTTTTTGGAGACCATAACAAGACCATAACATGATAGGCCTACTGATTTCTGCCACTGTGAACAATGTCTGTTCTTGAATTTAGAAAAATTAGCAAATGTGTAAAATCGGCAAAAATATTTATAATTTGTAAATTCACATTAAAAATATTAATATTTTCCAATTTACTTTGAACATAAGATTACTCCTGTTTTCATATAGTCATCCTATTCCTTGAGTATCAACAAATGCTTTAATAACAAAGATACTTTTCTCCTTTCATTTAAGAAAAATGAGAAGTGAAACATGGTGGTGCATTCTAGAATGTGTAAGCCAAGTGAATATCTATAAGATCAGAGCCAGCCTGGTCTATATAGAAAGTTCCAGGCCATTAAGTTCCTAATTTAAAATTAAAGTAATGCTTAAGTATTCAAGCTGTTGGGGCTGGAAAGATGGCTTAGCAATTAAGAGCACTAGTCTGGCACAGGACCCGATTTACTTCTCAGGACCCACATAGTCGCTCACTATGATCTGTAACTCTAGTTACTGGGAATTCGAAACCATCTTCTGACCCAGGTGCACACTAGGCATACATGTGGTACACAGACATACATACAAAAAATACTTATACACATACATAAATCTAAAAAGTAAAAGAAAAGCTTTAAAAATAATTTAAGGCTAGAGAGATGGCTCAGAGGTTAAGAGCAGTCACTGTCTGCTCTTCCAGAAGACCTGAGTTCAATTCCCAGCAACCACATGGTGGCTCACAACCATCTATAATGAGATCTGGTGCCCTCTTCTGGCTTGCAGGTATGTTTATAATCAATAAACAAACTTTTAAAAAAAAAAAGTAATAATTTAAGCTGTGAGATGGTGTTTTTCTCTTTGTAACTTTATATTTTCTTAGTCTCCTATCATCATTTTGCCCATATTCTTATGCCTGTTCAGGTTTGTAAGTTACCTTGATATTAGATATTATGAACCTTCCCTGTGACTTGTAATGACATAATTTTTGCCTGTGAAATTAACTATTTGATTCCCTTTAAAATGTTTGGGACTATTAATTTTGATTACCAATGCTGTAAACAGACAACGAAAAAGATAGGTTTGTGTTTTCTAGCCTATGTGCCAATTGTCACAAAGACAGCATGTTTAAGAAGCCTTTCATGTATGTTCATCGGTACTTAAAAGAACCCAGCAGAAGACCAGTGATCTACTGAGGCTTCCCATTAACTTATCCACTTAGGAAAGACTCCAGAAACTCTATGAAGGGAGAGGATCATCTCTTCAAGCTGGCTTTTAAGATGCTGAAGGGCCCTCACTGCTGTCTGCCGAAGCTTGCTGTTACTCAGGATCAGAATAAGTGAGTGGCTTAAAGGAAAGATAATTAATGTTAACAAAACAGAATTAGTTGACCTGTTGCCTGGTAAAAAAATAAATAACCAACGTGCCAGCTGCATGAAAAAAATGTGAAGTGTGAAGAGAATTAGGAAAGCCAACAGCATTTTCATGGCCTTCTTGTGGACCTTGGTTCTAGAATCTTCAGAGCTGGTGGAAATGAGGTTAAGGTTTCTAGAGTGTTTCACCAAGGACAAAAATAAAAGGATCAGTGATGCTACGGACACAAAAAGTGGGACCAAGTACATCAGGGAGAAAAAGAATAGGCTTTTAACAGCAGTGGTCTTACTTGTTTCTGAAAATAAAGTCAGATTTCTTTCCGTGATCATGTAAATTTCCCTCAAAATAGGAAATGTTTCAAGCAGTAGAAAATAGGATATCAAAGAGAACAAAGAAAATACAAGAAAAACAGCAACCACAATTCTCATTCTCCACTTCAGCCAGAGGAAAAGGGGATGGGAGAAGTGGGCAATTTTGAGGAAGTAGAAAATGCTGAGGCAGGTGGCAAACCATGTAGACAGTTGATCAGTCACAACCCACAATATATCAGAGCATTTTATTAGACTGTAAGAGTCATAGAAACAAGGAGCTAGTTCTAGTATGATTGCATCAATAAATATCACAAGCAGAGAGCTGGTTCTGGAAACTGCCAAACAGATCAAGAGGAAGTTGATGAAGGTGATTTTCTGATTCTTGACCCAGTCAGAGCAGTTTACCAATCCAATGAACGCATTCCCCAGCATTCCAGTGGTGAATCCTGCTGTTACCAGTATCGTATACATTTGATCCAATCTGGCAAGCAGTCTTACAGAAGAAAGGGATCCACACTTCTACCACCTCTGAATCAAACTTCCACGGACCATCATCTTCTTTCTCTTTACTGTAATTTCAGCTTTGAACCTCCTTCCATTGGCTCCACGTGTAATTGAGGAAATTATAAATCCTGGATATTTTGTCTTTTATTTAACATTAATCCTATTCCTGATCCATAAAGATCTGTTTATGATTACAGTCATATATTTTTATTCAAAAGTTTTTTGAAAATAATTATTAAATTCTAATCCGAACAGGCTCTATGCCCACATAATCGATGGTGTGGCCTTAAATTTCCCCCTGAAAGAATGTTTGAAAGATTAAAGTCAAATATATTAAAATATAAATTTGAATCAGATTTTTTTTTTTCACTGATTTGTGTAATGCTTTCCTCCTCACCTGAAATACTACACTCTCTGGAGCTAGATATCATTTTCCTAGTCAAAGAACATACTTTTAAAATGTTCTAATAAATGTAATTATGGATTCCATAAACCTGTATTATATTTGCTATGTGTTTGACTTTATACAAAATTAATTTTAAAAAAGCAAAGCACTAAGAAACACATAAAATAGTGAGAACAGAAAGAGAACATTAAAATGTAGTCTATAAACAGTAAAAAAAAAAAAAGTCACTACAATCTGCAATAGTCCTTCTAGAGGAGAAAAGAGAGCCATGACATTTGGATCTTGGAGATACTTAGAATTTATAAAGAACTAACATGTTATATTTGGGGCCAGCTAAATAGTCTAAATAGTCTACAAAAAGATACCCAAATAAAACTATTTATTTTTCTGAGAATAGAGCCTTATAACTGGTCACTTGTTGTAGTTTCCATATAGATGATTCTTGGGTATCTCTGAGTGATGTTCACAATTAGGCAGGTTTTGCTATTTACCATTTTATATATTATGTTTTTTGGGGCCTGGGGTGTGACACTGTAGGTTTAGCCTTAATTGACAGCCAGACTGTCAATTAACTGTTTTAGGTGAGATTTTGATAGGGAAAGAAAAATTATACACACACACACACACACACACACACACGCACGCACGCACGCACGCACGCAAGCACACTGGAGAGTGGGGAGGTGTATTAGAGCATGGCTAAATGAATACGGTTGCTATATTATGCAACATGCACACAATCCATTTTCTGCCCTTCATTTTATAGTTTACATGTAGGTTTATATCTCACATAATTCTCTTTCAGACAGAGAATCCTGTGATTAAAGCCAATATTAGGAGTTAGAGATTACATGTAGCTTTAATATGTTAAGGGATCACTCAGCATCCTGATATGAGCCAGGAATGGGGAATGACTGGTAGGCCAGAGAATTGAGCTGTGATGTCAATGACTTCAACAACACGGGAGACGTAGTAAAAAGGTCACTGTGGTCCTTCATAAAATAACCCAACTCAACCCTTATAATCATTGTGAAAAAGCAAAATTGAGGATTATGATTCACAATAGTATAATTAACTTACAGAGTCTGCTAAAGCTAAAGGTAGGTCTTTGATGTTCTTGTAATAATTCCTGCCAGAGATCATCTTCCTCAGAAGAGAATTGAGAAATGAACCTTAAATTCAGCTTAAAGTCCTGGGTTTCTTCAGTTACTGTATGGTTAGGGGTAGAATAAATGAGTAAAGTTGGAGAAGGTGATGCCTTCTTTTCCCAAGCCTACTTCATCACACAGATCTTTCTCCTGTAACCTGCCTTTCAACTGCCACCATCCCTGGTGCCCACTGCTGTTTGAATTTGTCTTCTCTGAATACATACACTGAGATTTATAACATCTTACTTGTCTGTTCCTGGGAGCATTTAGTCCTTAATTCATATAATAATGATTGATTAATAATAATAGATAATGAAGATGTATGTTATTAAGTTTCAGAATTGAGGTCTCCAAAGACAGAAGGAACACAACCCAGTGCATTTTAACATGGGTATCTTGTCAAATCATATTCCTTGAGCCAGAAATGACTTCTTGCTATGAATTCAATTTTTATCTCAAGCACTGCTATAAAAGTTAGATGCTGAAGACACTGATATTGCACAGAAAGTATTTGAAGCCTAAACAGAAACACAAGGTGGCCCACTCAGGACTTCTGGAGAATTTAAGTCAATGTTTTGATAAGGGAAGAGATGCAGTTGAGTACATAAACATGAAAAGGAATGAAGCACAGTTATTTCTGGCCATTTGTCCAAAGCAGTTTAATTGTAACAACGAACACTTAGAAAGAAGGAAGCCATTCAAGGACTCTCAGTACCACAAAGGATCCAAGATGAGGATACTCCTAACTTGTGCTTCATTGTTCAGTAGAGCTTTCTGATTGAGGAGCAGTCAGTTCTCCTGTATGGTCATTGAGGCATATCTACTGCTGGTTTTGGACATGCTCACGTATATCAAGGTTGAGGAACCTTTGTCTCTGTCTATAGTAATATTTATTCATTCCTAAAAGTAAAAGTGATAATAATGACAGTGTGGAATTGATAAATGACTTGGAAAATGGTGAGAATTGATTGAGGGAGAATTCAGCTTTACCTGTTGTTACAGTCACATCACCTTTAGAGAAAGTGTCTAGGAAAGAAAGAAAAAAAAACACCAGATTGAAGTGTAAAGTTAAGTTCCCAGACCTACAGAGCTCACAAATATCCTATGGTGAAATATGACTTTCATCCACTCTCTACATGGCCCAAAACTGAAGCTCCCTTGACACCTGGAGAGGGGAACATTTGAGGTGGTATGGTTCCCACATGATGTTACCCATCCCAATGGCAACTTGCCCTCCCTGGTAGCTCACACATTTTGTTACTTTTGCTGCCGGTTTTGCTTATTATTTACATTTCAGTATCAGTTTTTATTGTCACCTTATGATTCATTTTAATTAAGTATTTAGATTGCATTAATGTATTTTCAAGAACACCTAAACATAAACATGATACAGTATCTCAAAAATCTTTTGAAGTACTTTAAAGTATTGAATATTTAGGGGAATAGAATTCAAAATTGAGTATTGCACTTTTCTTTGTATATGCAAAGAGGTAACATGCATGCCTGCCCCTGCTGCTGAAAATAGAATTACATTCTGAAGGAAAAACATGTTCAAAGTTGGTCACACTTCCATGATTGCCACATATTCCTGTGTCTTGAGACATGCCTGTGTCTTGAGACAGGTAAGCTCTCCGAATAAGATAGAATGTAGACACTTTCACTTACCAACTCTATCATGCTTTTGCTTGACTGAATCACAGAAGTGATCAGTGATGGGTGATGTCATTCTGTAAATACGTTTCTCATACTGGTAATGAATAAAGCACTGTTGGCCAATAGGAAAGGAAGATAGGAGGGACTAGGAGACAAGGAGGAAAGAGGAAGTAGTAAGGAGGGGTCAAGATGGACGACGGAAAGAGCAGAATGCTGGCGGGCTCTCTCTCCGGTAAGATAAAACCACATGGAGATTAATAAAAATGGGTTAATAATTAAGACAGAGCTAGCCGATAAGAAATTAGTACCTGGCCAACAGCATTATAGCAAATACAGAGTCTCAATGTGTTAATTGGGGCAATGGCTGGACAAGACCAGCAACGGGTGGAAAAACCTACTCCTTACAGATCAGTACCAGGGAAGGTGAACATTCACTGAGTAGATAAACTTGGTCTGAATGCAAGTAAGATTCTGTGAATTGGAAGAATTTTTGTCCATATTGAATTAGCTAAGCAATTTCATGTGTAAGTACTAATACACACAATTGTCTCTGAAAAGTTAAACTCCTACATTTCTAAAACAATTCTGGTTCTGCTGTGTTCATTCTGGTCCATAAAATCATAACCTATCACAGTAGCAGCACACAGCATAAAATCCTATAACTGTCATAGTGGTGGTCACCAATAATCTCATAATTGATATTGTTAGAGCTAGATGATTAGGACCCTGTTGCTGCACAGAAAGTATTTGAAGCCTGTACAGAAACACAAGATGTTCTACTTAGGATTTGCAGATTATTTAAGACAGCATTTTGGTGAGGGAAGAGATGCAGTTTAATACACAAACACAGAAAGGAGCTATATACAGTTGTTTCTGTCCATTTGTCCAATGAGTACTAGGGAAGAAGGAGGCCATTCAAAGACTCTCAATATCACCAAGGATTCAAGATGAGAATACTTCTAACTTGTGCTTTATTGTTCAGTAGAGCTTTCTGATTGAGGAGTAATCAGTTGTCTTGTATGGTCATTGAAGCATATCTACTCTATTGCTTAATTAGCTGGTTCTGGACATATGCACTTATATAAAGGTTGAGAAAGCTTTGTCTATGTCTTTAGTAATATTTATACATTCCTAAAAGTAAAAGTGATAATAATGATGGCAGAGAACTGATAAATGACGGGGTAAATGGTAGGAGCAGATTGAGGTTGAACTCAACTTTACCTGGTATTACAACAGCAGCATCTTCAAAGACGGTTTCTAGAACAGAAAAAAACAGAAGACTGAAATGAAAATGTAAGTCCTCAGTCCTACAGAGCTCACAAATCTCAGATGGTGAACTATGACTTCCATCCACTCTCTACTGAGTTCTTACATCAGCCTGAGATTCTGCTGGAGAGAGGGGAACATGCAAGAAGGCATGGTTCCCACAATGATGTTACCCACCTGCTCCAATGAAAAATTGTCCTTTCTGTTAGCCCTCACCTTTTATTACTTTTGCTGCCACAGATTTTGCGGTTTATTCCTATTTCAGTGTCAGTGACAGCTGTGTATCTATCTCCTCTGTTTGTCCTGCTCTACTGTACAGCAAGGCAAGCCATATGCATGTTCACTTTTGTCCTCACTTGGCTTCCTTATCTTAGTCTTAGCATCTTCCAATATAGCCTTACAACATGGAGATTCAGTCTGCAAGACAAACAATTTTTTACTCTTCATGTAAATACCTTTTTTGGAATTCCAAGTATACATCAACTAGGATGATCTGACTATGTCATGGA